GCGAGAGATAACAAATTGTCATTTGGTGCAAGGCTGATGCCTTAGCAATAATTATGTAGTGCAATCATTGTTCCCTGTATTTTTTTTTTTTTTTTTTTTTTTTGCAATAAGCATAAGCTTCATATGTGTTTGATTGTTTCCGTTTCCCTTTTTTCTCCTTCCCCCTTGTTCTTCTTCTTCTTCTTATTATTATTATTATTATTATTTTTGAAAGTATGTACAAGAATAAAAACGGAGGCAAGGACAAAAATTTGAAGGGAGCGATTGTCCCATTTTCTCTCTTCCTCTTTTTTTTTTTTTTTTTTTTTTTTTATTTGAGTCTGACGATCGTGCTTTTTTTTTTCTTCTTCTTTAAATTTTTTTTTTTTTTTTTTTTTTAACATGCATAAGAACGGGGCGATTCTCCCCCATTTATCTTTCCTTTGTTTTTTTTTTGTTTTTTTTTTTTTTTTTTTTTTTTTTTTTTAAACATGCACATGAATAACAACGGAACGATTCACCCCTTTAAACTGAGATGCAAGAGATATCGAAATGCCGTGGGGTAGACGCCCCATGCCTTAACTGTCAATTATCCAGATGAAATCATTGCGATCATTCCAATGAGTTTCCTGTTACTGAGTAACACACAGGTCGATGCGAGCATTCATAGTGCGTAACCGTTGCCCTGAAGCAGCCTTTCTGGGCTAGTATCTGCTAGATGGGTTCGAAGGTAGAAAGGCTGGGAAAGAAGGTGACCAGAAGAGAAGAAGGAAGTTGATGAGGGGACGAGGAGAAAAAAAAAAATGATACAGAAGAGGAAGAAGTAGTCTAATCCTCTGAAGATACACGGAGTTCTTCTTGCTCTAGGTGGCCGCGGGGGGGGAGTGCTGGCGGGAGTAAGAGAAGGGGTGGGGGCATGAGATTGAGGTTGAGGAACCAAGAGGAGCTGATGAACGGGAATGGGTCTATTAGAAGGTGGGGAGTCGGATTCTGAAGCGTAATCAAGTGAGTTCTTCTTCTTGCACTGGAGGTTCCATGGCATTGTGGTCTTCGTGATTGTTGAAGGAAAAGACGTGCGTTGCCTCCTGGAGCTTGAGGATGAGATGTGGAAGCGCCGGCTGCGACGGGTAGGCGGCTTCTCTTGGGAATTAGGGGGCAGATTGGTACTCGATTGCTGATCCGCAGGCTTGGTCTGTGAGCGATCTGAACAAGGTCCCAGACCTGATTGAACAAGTTGCTGAAGAAGAAAATGAGAGATGTCTCCTTTGGCGAGTTGTTTGAAAAAACCTTTGAAAAAGAAGGCCAAAGGAGCGATAAAACCTGGAAGTCTCCCAAGTGAGGGAAGGTTCTCCGCTATGATGAACAAACCACCGTTAACCCAGAACCTTGATGAGTCACACCTTGCTGACGCTAGGCACAACGAGAAGCAATAGAAAGGGATATGTAGGTCGTGCTGCACCCTGTAGTTAGTCAGCTATGCACTCGCGTTCTCAAGCTCCAAGGGGGTGAGGGAGCTGAGGGTGTGATTTTCGACTGACACTAGGGAGAGGATGAGGTTGGTGTAGAAGGAATGGAGATCAGTTCTATTGCCTGATCTCGTTTAAGGAAGAAGAAAGATTGAGCGCCATTCTGGAAAGTGCAGAAGGCGGCTTCTTCAACGAACTCGAGGAGATCGGAAGTGACCAAGTGTGAGCCGAACCTTTTTTCCACAAAGGAGGATTGGAGAGTGGTTATGGCTTGAGGAATAATAAAAGGGAGGCAAAAGAAATGAAAGGGGAGTAGCGAGGCTGATAGGGGGTCTATAACGAAAATGCGATGAATGCTTTCATTGGCGGATATGGGATGGAGGGTTATGGAAGAGCGGAGAGGAGTGATGAGCGAGGAGAAGGTGGTTACTAATTAATATGTTACTGAGATTGGAGTGTGAGGTTGGAGGGGAAGAACGCAAGTAGGAAGGGGTCGAAGAGTGGGGAACTGCTGGAATGAAGCGAGTGAAAGGAAGAAGATGTGGATGGAGAGGCGGCTGGAGCGTGGCGAAGCTGGGGTTCGGCAAATGGGTTGGGGTGGGGAGGTGGTAGATCACCTACTCTGCAGACAGCAGGGTTCATGGTGGAGCAGGAAGGAGGGGACGGTGTCTGACTTGCCGGGATGGGTAGACTGACGGGAATGACTGACCGGGTGGGGACACTGACTTGCAACTGGTAGGGCGGCCGGCTGGCTGACGACCTTGACTTGACGGCCAAAAGGCGAAGGAGTGCGACTTCAGGGTCCTTTGACCAAATCAAGGCGATAAAAGACCTGACCCTTGTGTTGGTGTGTGCGCAGGTTCGCGTTTGCAATGAATGCGGCGAGCGGTCGGGCCCTAGAGGGCACAGCTCGAGAGGGCTCGCAAGCTATTGTTGCCGGCCAATCGCCTGTGACTTATACTGTCGCAGGCCAAGGCAGTGGGAGCGGGAGAGCCGACGAGGCCGTTCTCCAGCCTGGGTAAGTGCCGCGCCGACCCTGGAAAACAAAGACCATAGGACCGTAGATCTTGGATGGAATCCTTGTTGTTGTGGATTCTCGACATGCTGAAGTCGTTGATGCTTTGTTATCGGTGGATTCTGCAAATGTGTGGTAGTGCGAGAGAGGACCTTGGTACCAAATCCCAACTGTAGCCGGTACTGATTCCCAACTGTAGTCTGAAGAATGAAACTGATGTGGACCGAGGACGTAGTTTCTTGTTGAATGTGCTCAGTCTACTCCGGGCCCAACGGGATACACAGTTGCTGGAGTAATACTGTGGTGCAAACCTACAAACCTACCCCGTGGCCTAGGGAGAGATCCGGGTTGGTTGGTGTTCCCCCGTACTATAAATAGACTAGTGAGAGGATGAGATAGATGCGTACTACCAAGAAAGATGAAATAGATTGGGAGTCCTTCGGGACATCTGTTAAAATTGGAACGATACAGAGAAGATTAGCATGGCCCTTGCGCAAGGATGACACGCATAAATCGAGAAATGGTCCAAATTAAATAAAAAAAAAGAAAAAAAAAGAAACAGATTGAGAAAAAAACAAAAAACAAAAAAAAAACACAACACCGATGTGCTGGAAAAAAAAAAGAGCGCGCGCGGGCCGCCTGATCATCACAATGAAAATGAAAACGAGTCACCTCATGTCTTCCGCGCTCCAGCAGGCAGAAAAGACCCAAATTATGGCGGTGCATCTTCCCATGTTCTAGCGGAGGATTCGTTCTCATTTTGCACACATTTCGTGAGCACTACTGTGCCGTGCTCTCCCACCTCCTCTCTCTTTCTCCCGGGGCCAAGTCCCTCTTACGCTGATCCTTGATTTCAGGTCGTTGATCTTCCAAATCTGCGATCCGAAATCGATCATTCGGGTAAGTGGGACTTGGCCCCTGTACTCTACGTTGGCGCCAGGTCCCACGTCCTTGCGGATTCTACAAGTTTCCTTTTCCTTTTCGTTTTCGTTTTCTTTTTTGGGCGCGTTCTACATTCCGGCGGACTAATGGATTACGAGGATCAACGGCAACAAACGAATAGTAATAAATACAACAATCAATCAATCAATGATCTGGGCATGCGGAACTTCGCCGTCGTCCTGGATCGATAGGTAGGTTTTCTCGCTGGTTCGTTTGATGCGCCGCGTCTCTGCCCTCTGCCCTCCCGCCACCCGGCAGCCGGCAGCCGGATGGCGGCACTCGAGGGTAGGTCCCACTTACACGAATTGAGCGATACTGACCGTAGATACAAAAGATCAACGGCCAGATTCTCGTAATCCGTGCAAGCGGGACCTTGGCCCGGTTTGGTGAAGTTCATATTCTGCTGCTTGCCCGTTTGAACCCCGAACGGCCCCGCCAGATTGATTGAGATTGCCCTTTCTGAATCTGTGCGGCCTGTGCGAAGTGTGTGTGTGCGCGGCATGAGCGACGCCGTAGGCGATGCTCAGACTCCCTCCGTAGGCCAGGGTAATTCGTAGGCACGTGGCACTTGTCTGCCTCCCTGTTTGCAATCGTGTTGATCGGTGGATCTGGTCGATAACCCGACCCGATGCGTCACTTCTCTCTCGTGGGTCTCGGTCCCAGTGTGAGTGTGTCTCAAGGCGGGGGGATGAGTTTTTTTTTTTTTTTTTTTTTGGCAAGAGTGGGTGTTGAGCCCGCCTGCGTAGAGCCTTTTTCACTGACCGATGTTGTGCCTGGAGTCGAGGGGTATATATTTACATTGCCAGCAAGTCGAGGGGTATATATTTACATTGCCAGCAAGTGTGTGTTGAACCCGGCAAAAAGTAGATAGCGAGTAGTTTTCATACCCGTTCTTCAGATTCGGGGGGGGAGGATACCGTCTCCGCACACCGCTCTGCCATGTCCTCCTACTCCTTTTCCTTCCCCTGTCCTTCTTTCCCGTCTACGTTCAGAAGTGAGCAGTGCTGCCCATTCGTCCCTTCTTGTCCGTATGTGGGCTGATTGATTGGTCGACTGATTGATTGATTGATTGATTGATTGATTTGATTAGATTAGATTGGGGAGGTGGTTTGTAGGGTGGCAGCCATGGCGGCGGCTTTGTCCTGCAGAAATATAGTATCTTCATGCTTCGCGAGCACGGCTGCTGTTGCAGGCAGCGACGGCATGGAGCTCTCCTGCATTGAGGCGAGTTTTCCAAAGGGGGTCTCGTTCTCCTCCTCCTCTGTCAAGAGCTGCTTTTGGGGTGATAAGCAGCGATTAAGTCCCCATCGCAGAACATCAAGAATCTGCCCCGCGTCGAAGTTGCGCTCACCTCCCCGCGCGCGCACGGTGGGGGCGCGAGCCGCTATGTTGCAAGCGGCACCTCTTCCAATGCGCAGCCGAGAATTGAAGAACAGGTGAGCTGCACTGGTTTCGCCATCTCTCTCTCTCCCTTTTTTCCTCTTTCTCTCTCCTTCTCTCTCTCTGTCTCTCCCTTTCTCTCTTTCTCTCTTTCTCTCTCTCTCTCCTTCTCTCTCTCTCACTCCCAGCCATCATCCGTTCTTTCATTGTCTGTCTTCTTCTTCGATATATCTTTCGTCGAATAATCTCTCCCATCTCTCTTCTCTCTTTCCTCTCTCTCTCGCGCGGTTCTGCTGTCTATCGCTCACGCAAGCACTCGAATCTTGGCTTTCTTTTTTGCTTCTAGTCCACTGTTCGTTTTTTTTTTTTTTTTTTTTTTTTTCGGTTTTTTTTCTTCCGCTCACTGAAGCACTGAAATAAATTATTTACGGACAAAACCATGAGACGATTTACGTTGGCATTGGTTAAGAACTCGCTCCTTAGCCCGCCGTTCATTTCTTCGTCTTGTGTGCTGTCTCTTTTCTTCAGTTCTTCTTCTTCCTCCATATGTCAAACGTCTCCTGCTCTCCATTCCATCTCACTTTCAAGGTTGTCATAAGTCTATTTTTATCTTTGACGTATCTGTACTCGTTATCTACGTATACACATACATATATTTTGACCTTATCTCTATATCTATCTATCTATCTTTCCATTTTCTATCCATTTAATACAGTATATCTATCTATACATTAATGTATCTTTTATTTGACCTTATCTCTATATCTATCTATCTATCTATCTTTCCATTTTCTATCCATTAATATATCTATCTATACATTAATGTATCTTTTTATCCCACTGTCTGTAGATGTCGATACACTAGATAAGAATATCCATCCATCCATCTATCTATCTATCTCTCTCTCTGTCCATTTTCTGTCCATTATTATATTTATCTATACATTAATATACATTTTTATCCCACTGTCCTTAGATGTCAATAGATTATATATATAAGAGGTTCTGAACAGGGGGAGTTAAAAAGGAAGAAGATAAAAAATTGAATTCACTTTTCTTTTCCCCTTTTTTTCTTTCCTTTTTTTTCGCATTTGCGCTCTGATATTTTGTGACAATATATATTGATTACTATTTATAACTTTGTGGCCTTATATATATATATATATAATATAGATAGCCACCACCGCTCAACCTACATCCACGTGGGCGGCCTTGTACGCAATAGGTTCTGAACAGGGGGAGTCTTGTAAACGAAGAAGATGAAAAATGAATTGATATTTTTTTGTTTCCTTTGTTTGTTTTTTTCGTTTTTGCGCTCTGATATCTATGTGACGATATATAATATTAGATAGATGGATAAATAGATGGATAGATAGATCGGTGGGTGGATAGATAGATAGATAGATAGATAGATAGATATATAGATAGATATATAGATAGGTAGATAGAAATTTCCACAGCGAGATATTTATGTGATCGTAAGAACCATTATGTTTATTTGTGCTATTTTTATGGCAGGATCTATGTTTGATTACAGAGCTTTTCTTAACCTCCTGTTGGGTGATGTGTGGTTTATGGTTGACGAAGCAAAGCAGTTTGTCGTGACCGAGGTATGTTCAGTGAGTAGAGTTTGGTGACAATGCGCACATGAGAACGGCGAGATTGAAAGGTCCCTTTTATTGTTTTTTTTTCTTTTTTCTCCCTGTTGTATTCCACATGGGACGGAAAACTTTATCCGTTAGAGTATGTTTGGTCCCTCGCTCTTTTCTTGTGATTTTGCAATGCCATTCTTGCGCAGAGGTCACCATGCGTTTATAAGATGCTAATCTCCTCTTCCTCTGTATCGTTCCAGTTTTAACGCTTGTCCCAATGTACTGGTCTGTCCTTTCCGCTCTCAAGGCTCGCTAACTCAAGTAAAGGTGTCTTCTCCCGGTCTCTTCCCTCCCCCTCCCCCCCTCCCCCCCTTTCTCCTTTTCTGACCCCTCTCTCTCTCTCTCTCTCTTCCTCTCTCTCGGGACTACGGCACTCTCCTACGCCTCGTCTTTTTTTTTTTTTTTTTTTTTTTGTGACCTCTAGTCTTTTCGTCAAAATGTAGACGGCAGCGGAAAGGGAAAAAATGGGAGATCCAAAAAAATGAGTTAGACCGCTGGAACACACTATTCTCCTTTTTCTGTTTTTTTCCCCTTTCGTTTTTTTTTTGAAGGGCGACGGCCTTCCAATACCATCATTGAAGCTGACCGGCCCCAGGGAAGTCAGAAGTATGTTATTCTGGGCGTCTGATTGTATGTGGATTCGAATTTGAGTCTGTACTTCAACAGTTCTTGGGTGTACCAACTGAGCTAGGCTTTCGTTGGTTCCACTACTCTCTGCTTTTCGACCGCTCATAGTTTTTTTTTGTTTTTTGTTTTTTTGTTTAACTCACCAGCCTCTGAACCAGGGAAAGATGTGGGTAGGCTTGCTGTTGTTGGGCCGACTGGGATCCCGGCTGTACTGTGTAACAGGTAGTAAATACAATAAAATAAAATGAAGTTATGGTAATAAAATATTGCAGAGATAACGCCTCTGCATTGCTCCGCTCTTTGCTCTTTTGAGGCGGCTCTCCCTCTCGTTCTCTCTTCTCTCCCTCCATCTCTCTTCTGTCCCTCTCTCTCTCTCTTCTTTCCCTCTCTTCTCTCCCTCTCTCTCCCTCTCTCCTCTCCCTCTCTCTCTTCTGTCCCTCTCTCTCTCTCTTCTTTCCCTCTCTTCTCTCCCTCTCTCTCTCTCTCCCTCTCTCTTGTCTATTCGTCGAGTCCTTGTGGGTATGTCTGTCTGTCTATCTGTCTATCTGATTGGGTGCGCACGCTGACTATCGTCTTCACCCGAATAGAACGCCCGGTCATTATAGCTGTATGTGGATCGTTTTTCAGTCAAGATACGTCAATTAGTACCGGGCGTTCTATTCGGGTGAAGATGTTAGGCGGTTAACGTTGATCAGAACGAGGACGATGACAATGATGACAACATGGAAAGTCGAAATGCCTTTTTTTTCTTTTTTTTTCTTCTTTTTTCCTGAAGAAAATATCATTGTGGAAGTTTCTAGATCCGGATGGCGATGGTAACGACCCCCCAGCCACTGGGATTTAGGACTTAACTTTTTTGGGATGGATCCTTGCCGTTTTGGGGGCGGAAAGACGAAGTGTCCTCGTCATGCCCCTGTGGGATTTAGGACTTCAACTTTTTTTGGGATGGATCCTTTCCATTTTTGGGTCGGAAAGACGAAGTGTCCTCGTCTTCCCCCGAACACAACGCGTATCCTTTTGGCTAGATACAGTTATGATAAGGCTGTGTTGTGGTTGGGGGAAAGGAGGTAGTCTCTCCGCCCCCGGTGTTTTTTCGACACAGCAAGAGAAGAGAACAGGAGGTTTTCGCTCTTCTCTTTCGACAAAGCAAATACCGATTCAGTACCACGTAGATTGGATTTAAGAACTGAAGATTAAACAAACAAATAAAAGTGAGAAAAAGTCAGACTAAGTTCACAAATTTCAAGTGCGAGCTTGATTCACTACCACGTAGATTGGATTTAAGAAAAGTGCGGGCTTGATTGATTGTCAGCCGTCGAGATCTTATGAATTGTTTTTGTTTTCTTTTGCATTCTTCTCTGTTTTCTTTGCCCTTTTTGTTCTCCTTTTTTTTTCCGTTCTCTTCTTTTTCTTTTTTTTTGTTTGCACTTCGGAATTGTTGGCATTGAGATCTCATGCATTTTTTTTTATTTTACTACGGCATTATTGGCACTGGGATCTCATGCGTCTTGACGTCTGGCAATCAGCTGAGATAAGACTTTCCTAATTCAAGAGTGTCCGTCTTTCCCCGAGCACGGCGCACCTTGATCATGAATGTATACAAGCTATCTTTCCGGTCTGATGCAAGCATGATGAGTGTGCGTCATATTCGGGGGAAGATTGTATTGGGTCGATAACCCCTGAAGATGGCCTCCGCCGTGCTCAGTTTTGGTTTGCCGCTTCCCGGTGGGGTATTATACACATTTAAGGGGTGCTTCTCTGCTCGTGCAATTTTCGGTAATTGCTGGCTTTTGTTTTCCAGAACGGGCTTTTCGATTGCATCGTTTAGTTTTTATTTTATGGAAAATCATTAATTATTAATTTCTTAGTATTAATTCAATCTACAAAATCGGGTTATATAGCAACAGCTTATGACAATATATCATCCACGTGGCCGGCCTTGTACGTAAGAGGTGATGAATAGGTGGGGCTTTCCTTCCTTCCTGCTTTTCCTTCTCTTGTTTTGTTTTTCTATTCGCCCTTCGCGCTCTGATTCACAGTGCGACAATATATATCGACATAGAGAACTGCCCGGTGAACCGTGTGCAGAGTGGGAGAAGAGGACAATACATATATAGCCATTATCAATCTCTTGCGATTGCCGCCGTCAGTGCCGAAGGGTGTCCAACATTTCCTCATTGTACACATCCCTGTCACCCAGATATACGATGTCCCTTTTGTGCCCAAGGACGCTATCAGAACTGCATGATGCCGCACTGTGATGAACGTCCTAGTAGGTGGTGTAGCTACAGAAATAAATGCGGTGAATTATGTCTCTCCTCGTAGTTGGCTAGCAACTTGCTGTTTTTCTGACATGTGGACAACATGTCCTCTGTCAGGACTGTTTTGATGGGATGGATCGTGCTGCCGTCTTCCCCCGAACACAACGCACCCTTATTTTGGCTGTATCTGGCCGGAAATATAGCTTGTATACATTCATTCTTAGGGTGCGTTATGTTCGGGGAAAGTCGGTAACCGTCCTGCTGAATGCTGTGCGGGCGCAGCTCTCCTTGGGTATCCTTGTTTAACATCCACGTCATCCTCACCGTAGCTGTCTGTCCCATCTGCCGAGTAGGGGACAGATAAAGCCTTCGACACTACCGACAGCTACGGAGTTAAAAGAAGGAAAAAAAAAAGAAAAAAAGTACAAATTTCCGAAGAAAAAAAGAAGAAAAAAGGAAAAAAGAAAACAAGGAAAAAAAAATAAAAATGTTGATCTGTGGGATGTGTTATTTGCT